GTGCCCCCATTAAAAAGAGAAAGCTCCTTCCCCTTCTTATAACTTCCCCTTCCCCTTCTCATAACTGCCCCTTTTAAACATCTGAACGGTGCCCCCTTTTCATTCAACAAATGCACATTTTCCTTTATTATAAGTGCCCCTTTTACATTTTCATAAGTGCCCCTTTTCATATCTGGTCAGTGCCCTTTTGCAACTCTGATTATTCCCCTTTTAATAATGATACGTGCCCCTTTTCCTTTCTAATAAGGGACCTATCCCCTTTTCACCTCTTATAAATGACCCTATTAAAATCTGATGGGTGCCCCTTTTCCGTCAACAAATGCCTATTTCCCATTTTCGTAAACGCCTCCTTTTCATCACTGGTGAGTGCCTCTTTTCAAGTGAAAAAATGCCTCATTTTCACCTCTTATAATTATCCTTTGTACTTATACACGTGCTCCTTTTCTTTTCTAATAAGTGTCTTATCCCTTTCGATAATTGTCCCCTTTTCATGTAATCATTAAACGTGCCCCTTATTTAAAGCGACTAAGAGCAGTTTCCCCAAAGTTCGCTCGCTGCGCTCGCTCGCATTTAAAGATTATATAATTATGTTACTTATCAAAGGTCTTTTCAGTCTTCCGTTATGAGAATGTGCTTATAACCCCATCACGATTGGCTTTTTTCCTCTTTATAAGATGTAATTTTTCGCACTGCGACCTCACAGATCTTAAAAAATTTTCTCGCTCGCTTCGCTCGCTCGTAAATGCATATTCAGACATCACACCCAACTGTAAAGTTTGATGCTTAAGCGATATCTTGTATGATGTATGAAGAGAAACAAATATTGAAATCATCCCTGATAATGTAATCACAATGTAGGGGTATATACCAATGTCTAAAAATTGTATATTTTCGCTTTGAGATTTCCCACTGTAGGTGCCCTTTTTTCCAGAAAGTGCCCTTTTTTGTTGGTGCCCCCCCCCCCCACTTTGAAAGTCGCTCGGCCGCCCCTGAATATGACAGACAAAGAAAGCGGACAAAATATACAGTTCCTCAGGTAGGGAAAGGAACATCCCTTCACTGCTATTATGATAAAAGGTGAATATGCATGTGACACCTGTTCTACACATTTTTACATAAAAGCAGTGAAGGGATGTTCCTTTGTCTACCTGAGGAACTGTATATTTTGTCCGCTTTCTTTGTCAGTCATATTCATAGTGAGGTATACCCTTTGACTACACATGGGAGGAGAGTGGCAAATGTAGATTTGATAACTTTCTAAATGACATTTTTACCGTGGCTCTGACTCGAACCGCGAACTATGTGATCTATCTGGGTAACCTTTTTGCTAGACCACGACACCTCTAATAGACTTCATGTACTTTCACTTTTGTTTCCTAAAAGTAAATTATGCCGGAACTGAGTCACATTACGTTGTTGAAGACGTCGTCCATAAATAATTATAAAGGCATATAGTTACATCAAACAATCGTCCCTCTTGCATGCTCTCTGCCTCGGCATTCCATGCTATAAATAAATCATTCGAGTGTTCCGCGAAAATCTATCCATTGTCGATTTTACAAAGAATACACAGAGCTGGCTCTTCCAATCTTTATTTACCTTTATTGATATACATGAAGGGCTTCCGCCTAGCAACGGTGTTTTGTACTGGTAAATCTCGGCGTCTTCGTCTAGACGCCAATATAAAGTTCTCAATCTAAGAGTGTCATGGCATGCAGTCACAATAACGTTGTGGGAGAGGGGGAAGGGGGTTCCGAGAGATTCCAAGGGCCGATCGAGGGCAGAATATTATTAGTTGTTGTCTTTGAAAATGGACCCCAGTGGAAACGGAATATTTTGAGAAACTTCGAATAGTTGTCAGATTGAGAGATATTAAAGGATTACATTTCAACATATTGAAGGGCAATATGCACATGTGACGTATTCAGAAATTAATAAACACAGGGAAAGGAGTCGAATCCAGGGGAGGGGGATGGGAAGTGTTTTCATGGCACGTTTGTTTTAGGGCAACATTAATTCGTCGCTGTTTTCACGAAGTGACGGTAGTGAAAAAAAATTGCATTCACTTTGCGTTACGATTTTCCTCACTACCGTCACTTCGTGAAAACAAAGACGAATTGTTTGCAGCAAACCCATTGCGGGGGGGGGGGGCATATACAGATGCCCTTGAACATTTTTGCCAGGTTTTTGAAAGGCCTGTACAGGCCGCTAAATTGCCAATTTGTACAATATTATATTACTATATAGTTCCATCAAAATAAGCAAGGGGATTACTTGTACATTCTGTGTAGGCCTGTGTCATCACAAGTAATGACTGCATTGTAAATGAGATATTCTTATATCATCACAGATCGACACATTTCAAAATGATTTATACTTTCCCCTGATTTTTGTGCGAATCATTATCCAACGCGTCATTAATTCTTTATTTACAAAAGCAAATGTCTGCAATCTCAGGGCCTGTGACTCGGGCGGATGTCAGGATGATCATTTGGGGGTGGGGGGGGGGGGGGGTAAGAGGAAGGACAAAAGAAAATTTGACATTTTGCTCCGTTGGGGGGGGGGGAAGGGGGTAAGGTCAACTTTTTTAGGTCAGCCATTGGTATAATTTTTTTTTTTTTAAATTAAAAAATAATAAAAAATGGGGGGGGGGGGTTCTCCAAAATACACACATAAAAATACCAAAGGGGGGGGGGTTAACCCCCAACCCCCCCCCCCCCCCCCCCCGCTGCGTACGCGCCTGCATATAGGGACTTTTAGATTTGCGTGGACTGATACGTGTGACGTCCATTCAAGACAGTGCATTAAAAGGACGTCGATCGTAGCTATCCCCATTGTCTTCGTGCGAATCTAAAAGTCCCTAATAATGATCAGTACTCATCTTAAGTAAATAGGTCACAACAAATTGTTCGAAGTCAATCCCTACATGCTCACCTCTTCACGTGATTGACATTAAATTGATTGCAGATCATTGAATGCTCTAACCTAATCCTATTGACAACGTGGAAACGATATTGTATAGAGGAGAAGTATAACCCTTTAATCCCATTGTATTATAACTATGTGGGCTAAAGACGGATTAGGCCTAGTACTTCATAATTGGCACCTTCCATTCAAACGACACTGAGCAAGTCATTTCATTAGTGGATCTTGGGGGGGGGGGGGATGTTCTCATGAATCTTATGAACGGTACACACATGGGTGTCGATACTTACGTAATACCTATTCATCAGGGGGGGGGGATGAATGAATAGATCACCTCCCCCCCCCCCTGATGAATAGGTATCAGTTACGGATCGACACCCATGGGTACACATTAAATTCGAAGTAAAGAGAACGTGTCCCATATAAATGAAATTGTGACCCATTCAGGAATAAATTTGGCTCTAAAAACTTGAAAAAGTGATCCTCTTTTAGTTCTAGTCATTTGTCTTCGTCGTAGTTGTCCTACCTCGAAACGTGGATCAAAAATTATTAGTAAATGATTTCAAAAAATAGAACCTTTCTGTTTCTAAGAATCTTAGCTTTCATTCTTGCCAAAACAACAGAAATACACTAAAATATATATTTGTATGTACATGTATAAAAATGACATATTTGTTATTATTTCGTGTTGGTGTACAAACAACTGACTTAGGGTTAGCATAAATAAAAATAATTAAGCACTAAGCCTTGCCATGATAAAAAAAAAGCACCAAAAGGCTTACAAAATGGTCGCTTTAATAATTTGCTTCTACTATAACATCATTATGATCACTCTATTTGAATTATTCGGTTTTCTCTATCAAAAGTGTAAGAAATTGAAATTGGCGGCCGCGACAGCTGATGATCGAACTCCTGGCTTATAAGCTGACCCATTTCACTGCACATCGGACAAGAAAAGAAACCCTTTTTAGTTGACCTGACATCAATAGAGAGGTTTTCTTTCGTGCAATTTGCATAGTACTTATGATGTAACAGGGGGCAGTGAGAGTTTACCTTTCTCCTGGTGTTCACCCTTTGTCACTCGCTTGCGCTTAATGAAACTGACGTGCATCAATTAAAGTGTGCCTTTTGTATTAAGATAAAATTTAAATAGGAGCGAGTGGTCTTGGAAATCAGACTCCGTTTGATGAGGCGTGATGGCAGGCGCGTACGCAGGATTTTTTCAGGGGGGGGGGTTAACATTTATAAAATTTCGCAACGAATCAGCCAGCCGCTGAATAAGCGGGGGCGGGGGGGGGGGGGGGGGAGGGTAAGAGGACACTTTTTTTTTTTTTTGGTCTCGAAATTTGAAAAATTTGACATTTGGCTCCGTGTGGGGGGGGGGGGGGGGTAACATTTCTATAATAGCGCTTAATTCAAAAGCTTATAAGCGTTTTGCACAATAATTGTTATAAAATACGATAGTCCTATAGTGACATAGTAAGCCTATTCAAATCAAATATTAAAGACAACTTATAAAATTTACTGATTAACGATCTTAAAATAAATTGCAAAGCATAAACTAATACAGGTAATCCAAGAGGAATATGGCGCAAAATGGAAAAAATGAAGCATACGGTATTTCATAAAGATCTCGTCGAATGAATGACTCCCTTAGCGATAGGTATAGCCTAATGATTCTCCGAAATAATTTCCTAGATATAGAACATCGGTCTGATCGTGCAACTAAGGTAAGCCTAAGCTTTACACCGTGTTACGTAACAAGGATATTATAATTGTGATTTTATTTTAAAACCGTATTTTTGCTCGTATCCATGCATTGGTCGCGCTGGTAGGGCTTCACCGTCTCGCATACGCTTTCTTTAGTAAACATACACCAATCAGTCTAACAATCGGGGGTTGGAATGCGAAGAAGGTCCGTGTCCCCTGGTTCACACTTTGTATTCGACTACGGATGCGAAAGGACTGGGAGGGATCAACGTGTTATAAGACGGAGTATAAGATTCGGGATGTTATAGCCGATTAACTTCTTTTCACGGACTATACAGTGATTTGTCTACACACTTTGGTGAGTAACATTGTCCAGTGATCTCAGACTACACGTATAGGAGGAAGAAGAAGAAAGAAAGAGGAAGAAGATGAAGAAGAAGGCGAAGAAGGAGGATAAGAAGAAGAAGAAGTAATTAAGTGGATGATAACTGTGTAATTTGTTAGTTTTGTGGTCGTTTACACATAATATTTGATTGGATTGTTCTCAATATCATTTACTAGTATGATAAAATGTAGTACATCGCTGAATCAACGAAATTCATTATTATTTTAAAAACCCAATTTTCCGTAAAAAATAGCAAGGCAAAAGGAAAAGAATAGTCTTATCGCGAAGTATGAATTGCAAACGAATATTTTCTTTCATTACATTTAATCAAATGGAATTTTTTTAATCGTCTAAATGATTCATTGAAACAATCTGCATTTTGACCAGGTTCGGAATAAGGCGTATCAAACAATACATCTAATTGTTCATTATATTCAACGAACTTTCATTTTTTTGTTTAATGATCTTTTTCGAGACTCTGATCTTAGGCAGTATATTCATGATATATGTTGAAAATCAATAAATTAAAAATCCAAATAACTCTCGTGAGAATAAACTTGGAATTACTAAATCCCTGACATAACATGGCTTTGCAATATATTGGAAAAACGAAACTGAACATAGAAAAAGAGCGAAATAAAATAATGGCGCCGATTTGCATATCATTACACCTCGGACCACATGGGTGTTGGTCGAAATACGGCATGCATTGTCGTTACCTTGACTTCAAATCAGTAGCGCACACAAACACAGAGAACATGTTAAGCGGGCTAGCCAATAGTTCACTATTTGCCTCCAAGCCATTCGCTTACTTGTTCCATTCACAGCGGGCCATTGTTCGAGATGGAGTTGGCTGGCGACGCATAGTTGGTAAGGTAAACTGTGAGATGTCGAGCACATGGTTGCGAGAAATCTTCTCTCTAGTGGGATAAAGAGAATAGGTAGATATTTACTTTTGGGCGAGATAGGATTAGAGCGAGACGTAGTATGTGACAATATGGTAGTTAAAAAGAACGTTTCTTGGGGATGTGAGAAATATTTATCATTTATTGCCTCGTTTACCATCTCCTCCCTGCTCCATGCAATCTTATTTCCACTCTCTTTTTCTCCCATCTTTCTTTTTCTCTCACTCCCCCTTGTCTCTTTATCTCTCGATCTCTATATCTTTCTATGCCTATCTCTTTCTCTCCTCTATTTTTTTCATAATTTTCTCATAGTTCTCAAAGGGTATATTTCTTAAAACATCCCTATAATGCCAATTACATTTCGAAATTGCATTTATACGTTTTTTGTCTCTTGTAGCCCTGTGCAAACAGATCGAATTGTCCATCTCGCTATGAAGTCGGTTACCAAGGAGACTGTAGTTAATATTCAAGTTCCTGACGAAATGGCCGCCAGGTTCAGACCTGCCTTCTTAACTCGTACCTTCATCATTCTCATATTCATTTTTTCTGTCGGTTCGTTGTTCTACACCACTACGCAGCTGCAAACTCCACATCCCCAGACAGGTAGGTTATGCATTTTTTAACACGCAATATTAATGAAGAGGATAATGATGATGATTATAGCAATAACAAAAACAACAATGATAATAATAATGAATTTCTCTCTAAATTGAATGAAATAACATTTAAAAGTAATAATATAAAACGAAATTGAATGCTCAAAGAATGAAAATGAACCATGGGAGAAGAGAGTTGACGAAAATCGTTCGATTCTTGAACGCCTATTCATGAATTCGAATGCAACTCTGATGAAATTGGGCGGAAAAACCTATAAAAATAGTAATGATTATAATGATAGTAATAATAATAATTATAATAATAACGACGGTGATAAGGATGATGATAATAATAGCATTTGATATTAATAGAGAAAGATAAAAAGATGAATATTGTTTTTTGCCAATATACTTACATAACAAAGTTATTCGCCAGCAGGAACAAGCAACAAGAAAAGAACTGATAATCACTTTCTTCTGTCACTGTCAATAAAGAAAATGTTCTAAAAATTAAATGTTTATAACAATTAAGGATTCATAACCTATTATTTCGGGGAGATAATTTGCAACCTTCTTGTTCTTTATAACATTAATTAAAATGTAATTTCCATCTTCTTTATTACAGCAAGGAGCATTACCAGAACGGGTTCATTGCAACTAAAACACTCTTCTATTGATGGAAGCCAGTTGGACATCTCAAATAAAGCACAACATCTCCACGATTTAATTAATCAGCTACCTCATATTAATCCAAATAACAACTCATTTCCTACCGGAGGAGATCTACGAAAAATCTCGGGGAAAAATGTAACGTTTGTTTTGCCAAGAAGTCTCCTTAATCTGAACAAAACGAAACTGTATCTTTATCACCAAGGTGACGAAAAATCAAGAACTCTTGAGGAAGAACATCTCATTTTGGTGGAACCTCGACGGGTGAAGCTCTCACGAGAGAGAGCAATGAAGAGGACGGAGATGAGAGCATTGAAGACTCGCACATGGGAGCAAACCCAAGCGGCCCGTCGGCAGCTTGTGAACGATGTGTGCGAAAAGCGACCCGAACTCCGTAACGGAACCTTAGCCCACATCATCAGCGCAAACCGAACGAAACTGTCGCATTTCCTCGTGAGCGATCGCTTCAAGATCATCATCATGGCTGTCCCGATGGCAGCTTCCGGCTTCTGGAAGGAAGCTATCAATCAGTTGTCTTTCCCTGGGTCGCGAAGTGGTGCTTCGGCTGAAGGTGACGCTTTGAGACTTCTAAGCACCTACGACAAGACTGAAATCCGTCACCGTCTCCGAGAGTACAAGAAGCTTCTGTTTGTGCGGGATCCATTTGCGCGTTTCGTCTCTGCGTACCGCCGAAAGTTTCTGTCACCATCTGATTATTCTAAGCAATATGAAACCATCATTGCAGAGACTTACCGACAATGGAACACGGGAGTCAACTCCAACAAAACCTCCAATATCAGTTTCCAAGAATTCGCGTATTTTGTGGAAGATTCATGGGACGACATTTTCGAGGGTCTTTGGCAGCCGACGTCCAAGTTGGCAATGCCTTGTGAAATCAAATACGACTTCATCGGAAAACTGGAAGAAGGTCCGCTAGAGTTTAACAACATGCTTAAAAGCGCGAAAATACATTCCCTTGTCAAGTATAAACCGTCTGGTAAGACACACAGTCATAAAGGATCCATTTATGATCATTATTTCTTACAATTATGGACAAATCAGATCAAACGGCTCTATGAAAAATACGAAGATGATTTTTTAATGTTTGGATATTCAATACCTACTTATATGCATCCATGGGTATTTGGCGGGTTCAACGTTCCAGAACATTAATTTTGTTAACATTTTTGGAAATATATACATGTTTATTCTCTGAAATAGTAATCATAATCTACCGTCTTGTATTACGATATATTTAACATATCTTCGATATTCATGAAATATACACTGTTAGTCATAATGGTGGAATAATTATTTTCCGGGGGAAAATATAATGAATTATTGATAATTCATGGCATTTTCTTTGTTTTTTTTGTATTTGTGGGGCGGCGACGTACCCTAGCCCCCGCTGCGTACAGTCATGATTCATTGGATAAGCAATGGCCTCGTTACTGTGAGCCCCCATGATCAAAACCGAGTCGATTAATGCCCTTTTATGAGGCATTAATCCTCATTACTGTCAGTTATGACTTAAGGACGTAGGTCCCCTAGTTGATTTGCATAGTAGCACACACATGCTTTAGCAGTCACGCAAAACATACACTCACAAATTATCATTCAATAAAATCTGAGAATGTATACCTTATCTAGATCCATTAGGAATACATCATTGTCACAATCATTCCATACATTGGGGTAAAAAAAAAATTATTCCACCATCATGACCAACAGTGTATGACCTTCTAAAGTTGTAAAAACATAAGTGAATGTTAAATTTTACAATCAGTCGTTGAAATGCAATTCACGGGGATAGGCTAGGTAGTTAAATGGTGTTGTACAACTGCAATGTATGATGATATATTATGTTTAATATGTCTGATTTGTATAAACTTTTTTTTTCTTCAATCGATAATATTTCTCCTTGAATATCATATATTATCAAATAAATGTTGTCTTTCTCCAATCAATGAAAAAGTCTAGATTAATGTAATTTTTATGTTGGGGAATTCAAATCAGCCTTTCCATCATCTTCAGTAACAATATTTTTAAAGTACTAGTAACTGAATTTATGAAAATCTTGTCTTTTACTTTGCCATAAACATTTGTGTCGTGGTCGAGTGGTTTAAGGCGCTTGACTGGAGATGCGAAGGTCGAGGGTTCGAATCCCGACACGGCACTAATATCCTTTGGCAAGATATTCACCTGCACTTGCTACTCTCCACCCAGGTGTTAAATGGGTACCCGGTAGGATACGAAAGTTCATGGGGTTGGACGAGCAAGTGTGCGCTTGTAAAATGGCAACTGGCTGGAATGCTCCCCAGGGAGTGGAAAATGTGCATACATTGTGTGCGGGTAAGCCTGAATCCGATGACCGGGGTAATAGTCTGTAAAGCGCTTAGGCACATCGTTGGATCGTTGTATTGAGCGCTATATAAACACGGAATATTATTATTATTATTATCATCTTGAATGGTAATATATTGAACATATCTGAACAACTAACCATACATTTCATAACCAGTATTTATAGCCATTATACAATCAATCGCTGAGAAACACTTCACCATGAGTTAATTGCGATAGACCATCAACATTCGTAAGTTCAGATGCATGCAAAATTGGATACTTCATGTGGCACCTATCCTCTTCAATTCACAATCATATACTTACTATTTTGTTCGAGTAATTTGTGAAACTTCTCAATGCTAAATAAGATATACGGGACAATCAGACCATGAAATATTTTGTATTCCGATTTATGTTTCTCGCATTATCACTTCAATATCACTTCACTTATCATATTCAATATTTAGTGCAATCATTATTTTGAAGATAACAAAGTGTGTGTGTATTACAACATAGCCACAAAAATGTGTTTTGTGTAGTTGGTATTAAAACTTGACGATCTATATTATATAGAACCAGTGAATTTTCATGTATTTCCTTTATTTCTCAAAGAATATTTAGTATTGATTTATAGCCAGGACGATGCCATCATATAATCGGGGGGTGTCGCTATACCATTTTGACTAATACAAATAATCAATCTGGATTTATAAAGCGCTTAATACGGAATACCGTCTTTAAGCGCTTTACATATATTTTACCCCTGAATGGGGCGTCGGACCGGATTTGCTGGCAAAATTGCTGAGAAAGAGAGAAAGAGAGACAGAGAGAGAGGGGGGGAGGCGAAATAGAGAGGAATGGGAAAGAGAGAGAGAGAGAGAGAGAGAGAGAAAACATAAGGATTGCCAGATTTGAAACTTTTTGTGGGGGGGGGGGGGGGTGTTTCATGCAGAGAAATTGTCGTAGTAAAATATGTGTCGTACATAATTATTTTCAATTAACACAAATCAAAGTGCATTTCATTAGTGGGTAATTATATCATTTGTTTGACCAAATTGTATTATTATGTTGTCCCATTATTTTAGTTCTAGCGCAGTTGTTATGCATCTGATATAATTTAGCAGAATATTGCAGATTATGTCATATGCATCTCTTTTCATGTTATTAATTTTATTAAATTGCTTATATATCATTAAGCCGTTAAACCTCGATCGAAATAACGCAGTCACTGCTTTTATCTTTTGTTTGTTAGTGTACTATACATGTAAATGCAGGCCTACTTGCTGAAAGATGAGTTATGATCATAATTATCATCCACTTTTATTGCGTCACATAGAGAGAGAGAGAGAGAGAAAAAAAAGAGAGAATGAGAGAGAGAGAGAGAGAGAGAGAGAGAGAGAGAGAGAGAGAGGAGGGGGGGGGGGGGGAGGGAGTGGGAGTTAGCTAGACACATTAGACAAATTGCCAATACTTCCAGGGTAAAGGTTTTTTAGGGAAGAAGTATGGATATTGAAAGGAGTAGATAACACTACTATATAAAGCAATTTTTTCAAATTCGAGATGAAAATATTTCTTGACTTTCCTTCAGCCTCTTTTACTGTTTTTTCATTGTTTTGTCCCTTTACGCGTTTTCCTTCTCTCATCCATCTTGTTTTGCCATTCTCTAGCAATCACTGCCAACACATCCACCACCACCACAACCAGAAGCAGATCTACCATTTTACCACCCAATCAGCATCCTCATCCTCATCATTACCATTATCACCATCGTTACCACTCATCACCACCACTATCATCACTACCATCATCATCACCGTCATATTCTCTATCGTCATCTCTATCATCATCATCATCATCATCATCATCATTATCATCATCATCATCATCATTGTGATCATGATTATCATCACCGTTATCTTCGGATATGGAAGAGACCATAATAATGAGGATAACCGCGATAACAAGGAATATTCTATATAGTTAACGAATAACGATGAATCCTTGTACTGTATAGGTAAACACAATTATAATGGACATCTTTTAACACAACGCGAGGGTTTATTTTCCACACTTCTCACTCAGGAAATATGATTTCTTAAGATGCATAACGTCATTATAACAAATAACAATAATATATTCTTACATAAAACCAGTAAGTGACCTAGTGATTATGTTGTGCTTTTACAACATACATGTAACAACAAAAATATTATGAAAGCATAGTTATATTCTCCAAAGATATAACGGAGAAAGGCACATAACTACAATAACAGAGATGCATTTCAGATACTTCTTAAATATTGCGTAATCGACGATAGGGCCAGTGAAGTGTATTATCTGAAAACAAAATGGAATCCACAATATTCAATTCGTGTATCCCTTTTGCAGCCAACATCAAACTCTGCAGAACTTTGCAGGAATCATGAGTATGTCACGGGTATGTCACGTATGTCCTGACATCTAAACGTTAGCAACTTAGCAGTGACCTACTTATGCAAGGGAAACCGTTTACTATCTAGTCTTCACTGTCAGACACTGTTGAGTGACTGACTGACTTTTTAAATTAGCTGTAAAGGGCACACATCAATGACCCGCTTCTTATAATGACCAAAACTAAACTAATCGAGTCTTTACTCAGCATGAAACGTACAGCTATGCGGTACAAGGATATGAAAATCAGACTACCCTCTATAATAGGCCTATTTCGTGAAAACTCCTAATAGTCGATATAATTCCTCATAGAGGAAATTACCAATTCTAATTTTTAAAGAGGAATTTTTAGTTGATATTATCTCTTGCTTACCATAGGATTTACATCATTTTATATTTTCAGCCTTCAGACTACCTTTAAAAGACTGACTCGACACATCTCCTGAAGTTAAATAACTTTGAGGCATACAACAATATAAACAATAATTAATTATAATGAGACTGAGGGTAAGTCAAGCAGGAAACCGGCGAGGATGAGAATTTGAAAATTAATGGTAAAGTTGAATTGAATAGAGAGAATGCAGTACATTTTGACTGTCCCTCTTTCCCATTATACAGGGTAGTACATTGACGCGAAACCGATACATACAAAATATTACATAAACAAATAAAATACCGGGCCAATAGCGTTTCGAAGGTTTGGGTATGGATAGGGTACTGGCATCATTGGAAGGGGATGGTCCGGTCCCTGGTTGATGAAAAAAAAAGCAACAAGCAAGGCCAAAGATAAGGGGAAGATGGGGAAGAAGGTCCTACATTATCTTGTTCCAAGTTACCCTCTATATTATTTCCCTCTTGTTTTATCTTCTTTTGGCGTCATTCTTTTTTTGTTTTTTGTTTTTTGTTGGGGGGGGGGGCGACATGCCCCTTTTCCCCGTATCTACTCCATTAATAATGCCGTATCGTGCTATCCTTTATCACCCTAAACCAGCGACGTATTCTTTTCTAGATCATGATGAAATAATTTTTTTTGGTTTTTTTTTTAAATCCAGGGATGACATGACCGGACATACATCTCTCCAGTCACATGCAACTGAAGAAATATGAATCAAGAGTAGTTTCATATTTATTCATAACATAAAAGATCAATTTCGTTTCAATTCGGAAATCAATACATATTACGCTGAACGATTTAAATATAACATAACATAAGCTCGAGTACAATAAGTCGATAACGTAGGCGCCTGTCTACGCATTTTCATCAAAATAATTATGTTATTTAGTCTGTACGCTCCTTTCGCTATACAATTATTCTTGAACAAACGACGTTTACTATAGCCTGAACAAGCTAAGAGAGACTATACAGAATAATATAAGCTCGGAAGAATTGAGGACTCCATCATCATCATCATCATCATCATCATCATCATCATCATCATCATCATCATCATCATCATCATCAAGCATACAAAAACAAAATATGTAGCGAAGTATACCAGGTATGTCCAACATATCGTAATCATACACGGTAGGGAATATGCAAGTCGACCCGCAGCTATAAATTAACAATATCTATCATTTTCTTGACTCTCAATTATCCTTAAAATCGCATAGTCTTGGTCTACAGACTATGACTATATACGAAGGGTTCAGTAATTACATCTGCATGTCTTTTCTTATTTTTTTAAATTAAAAAAGTATTTGTTGACTACATGCCAAGCTGCAAATTGAAATAAAATTATTTCATAAAGTCTTGGTATCTTAACATCCAAAAAGTGGTCTTGTTAATTATTATGGTCGCTGGAAACAGTGAGATGCGACTTTAGGAAAGCTCCTTACAAAACTGAAATATTTAAAACAGGCTATATTTTTCGCGTAAATTGGCACCGGAACGAGTCGAAGAAAGGTCTAGTTGACCATGATCCCTGTGAACGTCACCATGGGTACACCGGGATGACTCCTGATCCCATACTCACTCCCTGAAGCCAGCTGCAGCCAGACCTTATCTTCTTCTACAAGATCCAAGATGGCGGACTGGGAGCACACACTGTTTGATACTCGCTTCTTCCTGGCAGCGGAGAGCATCACCTGTCCGACACCGTTCTTCATCAGCGAGACCGACGCCCCCTTGTCCTCCTGCGGGTGGATTCTGAATGGACGGGGAAAATAAAATAAAGTACGCTGATGAATATTCAATTCAGTTCAATTCTTTTTATTCATCCTAATTCACAAGAATACATGGAAATTTGTTTTGGTCACACATTGTAAAAATACATAATATATGAGAAACTATATCGTTGTGTGTATAATCAAAGAAGAACCATCAAAATTAAAAGTGTAATGATAACACAAGGTGTTTCGGTTAGGCCTAACAAACAACGATGTGGTATTGTAAAATTAACGTGTTTTTACACGTTTTTTTTCCAAGGGAGGGGGCCCGGCTAGATCCGCCACTGCCTGTCACCGACGCAGTGCTATACGTCACGCAAATGACGCATGGTGCTTGCTTTTTTTAATTCTTGAGCATATAAAACGCCGAGTAGGCCTACAGCTTTTACATAGTGCCCTCCAGTAGTATACCCGAGGATTTGTTTTACTTTTTTTGACCTACCTCATGCACCTGAGGAGTTGTAATATCATAGGAAGTGTGGTCTAAATGCCGAACTCAAGGGCCGTTCACTCGAATGGAGAGGGGAGGGGGGGGGGGGGTATTCAGATTTGGGGCCGCTCAAGCCTCGAAACCCCTACCCATTTGTAAGGGTCATTTTGGCAGAAAAAGATATCCTTTTGGGAAGGGATTGCTCTCGAAATAAAGGCCCATTTTTCACAAATTTCGAAAAAACGGTCACATGTTTAGTGATATTTTAGTGAAAAATGGGACCCATGTTTAGGGATTTTTTGTGTAAAAAAACGACCCATTAGAGCGGCACATCCCCATATGTCTTAATATGTGAGTACCACCCCCCCCCCTCCACACCTGGGTGGCATTCACGTTCCTTGATATTAAAGGCATTGATCTACATTTGCAACTCTCCACCGTCCCAGGCGAAGTTGATCAATTTCGTGCGTACTATAGTCTTAGTATAAAAATTATTTAATAGTACTGTTATTATGCGCTAATTTTCCAGAGGCGGACATTGATTTATAGATTACCGCTCATATTGGCGGTCTCCTGCGTTTCTTGTACCTTATTTTTTTTCATTGAAAAATAATTGTGTTTTTATGCATTTTATTTAATGTACTGAAAACTTTACAATAATGAAAACATTATTGTTAATTAATATATATGATTATGTAATATTTTGAAAATGCAGAAATAAAAGACAAACAAAGATGCTGGGGGCTTATAAATACGTGGACGAAGCACGATTCCTGGTGTGGTACAGTATCATAATTTACTCTGTCAAAGGACTCAAAGACAGATAGATGATTGGAACCGAAAGGCACTAGTGTCCATTGACCACAGGCCTGATCGACAAGGCATTAACCTACATTTGCCACTCTTTGTCCAGGTGTAGTAAGTACCCGGAACGATAAATACATACGTGAATGTAAAGAAGTACGATCCTGGTATGGTACAACGGAACTCGTTTGCCACGGTGTCATAGGTAGATTCTGAACTCTCGGAGAGGGCTCTTTCGAAAGGAATTCGCTGTGCTTCATCACCGCCCTCTAACAGAGCCGAGAAGACAACCGAAAAGTGAACTGGGGAGTATAAGAAAGAAGGAGAAATACATAAAAAGACGGTTGACGGCAATAGTGTATTTGCTCTTGAATGAGGATAATAAACTGTTGATATAATATGCGAGGAATTTGGGATGATATAGCATTCTATGTTAAGATTTTCAGATTCAAAATTAGACATTTATTTCCTCCTTAATACAAATACAATTTACATACATAGGCCTACACCGAAACGCTCGCAAAAATGTTCTTTTCATTGACATTCCCAAGTTTTACCAACGAGACCAACAATAAACACCTCTCTCCCAACCCCCTGAATTACCCTAAATGGTCAATATTCCCCCCCCCCCCCAGCCCTTAGCTTCAGGCAGGTTGAAGAAACTCTATTTGACAGCTTTGACATAATCTGGCCTCCAAGAAGAAAGAGCGTCTCTTTCCCCAGGTTTCCCCACGATGACCTGCCATATTGTAATTTGACCTCGGCATGCTGCTTCATGCACTTTTGAAGCTCCATACTTAAACATCTTGCTCAAACGTCAGTTTCAGTTTCTATTTCAGAGTCGGACCCATTGCATGGCCGAATAGAATGATAGGCTAAAACTTTTTGCGAAAATACTGTAAAATAAATGGATCGTATCAGTTCAATTTGCTTCCCCGCAGTTTTAATAAACGTAGAAAAGACGGAAGTGCAGTACGATGAAACGTACTTATGCTTGTTTGTTATATAGGCTTCGACATTAAAATTCTGAACATTAGAAGATAGATTAGAAACAAGAATTATATAATGTGTTGGCAAGTAAATAGCTCATTGATCGAATATCTCCCGGGATATACATACATAGAAAACAAAATTTCGGTGCTACGAATATGCATCTGTGTTTTTTCCTTTCATTCTAATGAGGGTATATTCGCTGTACTCTGAGTGGTATACAGTCTAGCACAATTAAATGGATTCCCATGTGTCCTTCGCGATGTTTGTATCTCCCTGCTGTGAAACTAAACATTTTACAAACTGCGTGAAAAAAGGGGGCGGCGGTTGAGGAGGATCAGCATGTACAGGCGTCCATTTATATTTCAGCGCTTTATACGACAAAACCCGGCTCTGAAATAATTATGATGTGCATGTATTTTGTCACAAGCATCAGTGCAGGAATTCAGGAATCGCTAATGCTAGTCATCGAAAGAAAGTGTAACATCATAGAGGTAGCAATCATTCGTATATGAAAACACCCGACCTTACTGCTCTACCATGATTACTAATGATTAAAATAAAATGGCATGAAGTAAGGCTATAACGCGGCTCTTTCGCATTCAGATTATCGATTATCAATGATACGGGATGCATCGTCGCCCTCGTCCTTTCATACTACACACAAATACACTGGCTAGCTAGATAATGATGCGCTCATTTAGAATACTACGTATACACAACACATCATTGCATGGGTTATATGGGTCATACCATGTAAGTAGGGTCCATGGTCATACTACCAGGTCCATGGTCATACCAATACACACACAACGTAAAATTAGATGCGGGATGGACATCGCAAATTATTATGTTGTCTCTCGTTCGCGATTTATGATAGCGGCTAGCGGCTTCAGCGAAGTTAACGCGAGATTGCGCTGTATGTCGAGCACAATCAACAGAATATCGAATTTAATCATTTAAAAGAGCGGTCTTACCCTTTCCGCGAGCTGCCATGCTTTTTGTATGAGTACTGATTGAATAGAGTCTGGAACGTGAAAATGTCGAGATGATTTAAAGTAAAAGCCGCGGGACAGGGCACCAATTGATAATATAGCAAAAATACGCGCCTCGGGACGGTTTCGGAGTCGCACGCCCAATCAGCTGATAAAATAACACACCCTCAACGTTGACATTACAGTTAGTACTGAAACAGAGAGAGAGAGAGAGAGAGAGAGAGAGATGGAGAAAGAGAGAGAGAGATGGAGAGAGAGAGAGAGAGAGAGAGAGAGAGAGAGAGAGAGAGAGAAAGGGGAGGAATGAGAGGAAGAAAGATCAATACCATTGGAGATAGAGAGAGAGAGAGACATAACATTATCGTAAAAAATATCTCGCTCAAGACTACCACAGTACTTGGTTTCCTCTAACCAACTTTTATTCATGCCAAGGTTGGAAAAGGTCATTTGTTAACATACACAATCTTGACCTATCTAACCTAAATTCGACAGTTATTTGGGAATACAATCTCTTATTTCAAAGCTTAAGTGATAAAGAATGTACCGGATAAAACAGCTGAACTCGAAGAAAGGTAAAGAAAAGAAAAGCTAACCAAAAGATAAAGAAAGTAAAACAAATTACTATAATTTATGAATTCAGGTGTGAGTTAATTTGATCCGGGAGCGGCAACATGTTTGTTTTATTTTGGCTTTGAAGCTGCAATCGCAGAAGAGAGTGTTAATGTCACTGAAATATAAATACATGTATCAGTAAAGTGATTTCAGATTTCGGTTGGCATAACATGATGTTCGGTAGCCGCCTCATGCATGATTATTATGATGGTGCCACAAAACAAAAAAATTCTTGAAGAAGAAAAAATACGTTCAGGACGAATTCGAAAACATTTTAATCTTTTATAATAATGAAAGCAGGTAAAAGCTTTGATTGGTACGCGAAGATAATGTTTTAATTTTATATTTGCTATTGTGAACGCTGTCACGCCATTGGCGTATGGAGGGGGGGGGGGTTGGGTGTTCAAGTCCCCACCCCTCGGCAAAAAGGGAGTGTTTTAGGTGTTGAAACATCCCCCTCCCCTTGGCAAAAGGAGGGTGTTTTAGAATTTTAAAGACACCCTTTATCTGTGTTTTATGTATGACCCCCCCCCCCTGGTCACCTAAAAATCAAAATAGTGCTCCTTACCCCCCTCCCCTGGATCCACCACTGGCCCCCGTCCCCTCCCATAACACCAGTGACCTGTTATGCCTCTGTGAATGTAGACGTCGATCGGGACTGCGATATATTTAGATATCCTTTATAGGCATACGTCCCCACCTATCATTTCTGCATGATAACATGGATAAATGCTTCATTAAAACGAAACCACGTATGGCTATTTTATAGAAAAATGAAATGAAATGAAACCATTAATAAAAATGAAAACGTAAAAGCCGGATCATGAATCAACTTCTTTTGCATGTATTTCGCGCATCGCTACAATATAGCTGTCTGCTATGAAATCATTTTGTCAAGTAAATATTTTTCTTGTCGTGTATTTAAATACACAGTTATTTTGTTACCAGAGCTAGCTAGCGGAGACCTCTTTGATACAAACGCACCTTCTATCGGTGCAGTGAAAATATCTGAAATATTGTACAGTTTGCAGGTCACTGGTGTAAATAAATAAGAGAAAACAAGTTAAATGTTCAACGATAAGTCTTTAATTTGTAAGGAAGAAGAAGTGGCGTTGATATCAATATTGATTAAAAGAACTTAAACTTGAATTGACTTTTATTTCCAGCATCATAGAAAGTAAAAGATGGAATATCATAACAGATAACAATATCAAAATTACATATAAAGTTACATAAAAATATTCAAAAAGTAAAGAATATATGAAAGTAAAAACTATAGTACAAATAGAAAATGATAATAATAATAATAATAATAAACAATATTTATAAGGCGCTTAATACTGGTGTCTCTAAGCGCACCATATTCTGACTTAACAATTATTTACCAAAACTTATAATAAACACACAACTTATACATCTGTTCTTTATTCAATATATCATGCATATATAATAATAAAAAATAAGATAAGAGTGAGATCAAACAAACATACATACAAGAGGTCAAACATAGGATCAAACATAGGATCGAACAAACAAAAAATAAGACGGTGTGCACCTCCTTTGACCGACTCACAACTGCAGAATATTATTTTTGAATTAAAAAGGTGCGTTTTCAGCAAGGACTTGAATTGGTCGAGAGAATGAATATTATGAAAGTGCGCTGGTAATTTGTTCCAAAGGATAGGGGCATTTACTGAGAAAGCTCGGTCGCCATATTTTGTAGCGGTACGAGGTCCGAGGGTTAACTGCAAGGTTGATGATGATCGAAGAGGTCTTAAAGAACTAGAAGAACGTAAGGAAATCAAATCTGAAAGATATTTAGGGGCTTGGCCATGGAGAATTTTGTATGTAAGAAGAAGAACTTTGAATGTGATACGATGGTGTATGGGAAGCCAATGAAGAGAACGCAATATTGCATTCGTAAAAGTCAATTAGGCTTGAAATCATTTTGCCAATTAAATATTTTTAGGGAAGAGGGTATCAGACCGAATTCGCTCACGCTTGCCAATAAAGTTTCCCAACACACACGAAACAGAATAGTTTTGTTTGCTTTTTGACCTTTCAGGGAACTTTACTTCACATATCTACGTCCAAGCGCGTATCCAGGATTTTTTTAAGGGGAGATGTTAATTGCCCAATTCGTGAGAAAAAATTTGTAGCGAATAAGCCAGCCGGTGAATAAGCGGGGGCCAAAAAAAAAATGTCCTCACCAACCACCCCCCCCCCCCCACTGAGCGAATTTTCGGCCGGCGCGATTTTCAAATTTTCGGGAGAAAAAAAATAAAAATAGTGCTTACGACCCCCCCCCCCCCCCTGAGCGACTTTTCGACCGGCGCGATTTTCAAATTTTCGGGAGCAAAAAAAAAAGGAAGTTGGGGCCCCTTCCCTAAGAAATCCTGGATCCGCGCCTGACGGGGGTAGCGCTCATCTCACTCGGTAATGAAATACGCGAGACTATATAGCCATCGGATGGGGGGGGGGGGGGGGGGGGGGTGGTATACTAGGGGGTCGCGTATTAGCTAATTTCCCCGATGCCAGTTTCAATTCCCTTTCTACCCTTTATTTCTTTATTTAAAAAAGAAGGAAGATCTATAGAGCATTCTATAGCATCAGGGTGTTACATGGCTAGATAAATAACTTACATTAAAGATTAAGTTGAGTTCTAGTCATTCGATTGCATTGTAAAAGAAAAGGTGTGGAATGGATCAGAAAAAAATTGATCATGTAGCATGTAAGTATTGGTGTGTACTGCACAGGGCCGTAGCTAGAGTTTGATGTTTTTTTTTTTTTTTTTTTTTTTTTGGGGGGGGGGGGGGGGGCACATTCATGTAATTGATCGACGTCCTTTGGAGGGGGTCTAAAAAAGTTCAATCGATCTTGGAATTTTTTGGGGGCACGTGCCCCCCCCCCCCCCCCCCCCCCCCCCCCGTGGCTACGTGCCTGGTACTGCAAGGTTCTGGAGTCATCGACATCGTAATAAATTTGGCCCAGTCTTTGTAAAGTGACAAGCACTGTACACAGAAAGGCGTATATGGGACTACACAAATGGAGTCGGGCCTACTTACCTTGATTTCCTTATCTTTCTATGCTCATGACTCAGCCAGTACACATTTTCTACCAAAGTCGTTTGGCAAAGGACATTTAAATGTAATCTTGAACATTCAGTGTAAGTTTCGTTTGATTCTATGAGAATTAATTTTCTTTTTGTTCTTTCAGAACTCAAATGTATCTTTAAGTTAAAAATACCTACCCTTCCTTGCGTCCTCAGGCTCCGGCTCAGGCTCCTCCCTCATGGCTGTTTCCGGGACGACTGCATACGGACCTTGCCCCATACTCGATAACAGACCGGCCCACTTGAAGAAATCACGAAATATTGTAAATTTTGTATAGAAATAAACAATTCTGTCAAGTTCAGATTGTAGTACAATCCTGCATGTAGCATCAACAGTACAATGGTTGCTTTGTCTAGAAAAAGCGCTAACGTCAAGTCCAATTTGGATTATGAAAAAAAAGACGAGATAGAGAAACAAAATTAAGACAGTCTGAGCCCGATTATTGTAGTTTCCGGTCTTTTAATTTTTTTTCGCTGCCAGTGTAAAGGTATGAAATATGTCAGTAAACGAAGGATATATCAATCTGTAACTCAGCTCCCGGCGTTGAAGTGTTTATTACATGTAGAAGCAACTCGGCGGGAAGCGACTGCAAAAGAGATTGAAGTCATCAATCCCGGCGGCTGTTTTTAAGCAAAAAATTACTCGATCTCGTGATGTCCAAACTGGTTATAAAGCTCAGGTAATTATGTCGAGACGTTCGATTTGTACAGTGGGCAAGAGAATTGCAGAGAGTGGTACGTAATAGCTAAAAGCTCCTTGGTCATAAAATCACATTTTGGAGCGATGCCAGTGAGCATTTCCGAAATTCAGGGTAGGTACGTGCGATCATGCAATTATGTAGCTTTAAAAAATAAAATCCCTTTCTATTATTATGGAAAGCATGTGATAATGTATTAGGTTCCACAAATAATGCACACAGACTAATGATGTCTACCAGTATATTATGATGTAATATTATGCACCTAGTAATATGAACAGCGGATTGCAAATCTTCATGTGACTTAAAGCAAACATATCGTCACCTTCTTAAATCATATGGCCTAAGTCATATTTTCAAGATTTGAGAAAAACAGAGAAAACTGAACCAAACATAGAATAAATGATTTTTTTGCTCATTTTACACAGAAAGGTATTTGATTATTGAAATACAAATAACACTGTCTATCAAATCTGCTTCGGAAGAGGATTAGATTACTCATAAGTTTGGGTTTACTCAATAATATATAGTTTCTTCTTCACACGCTTGACTTAGGCCATTATACTAACTAGGTACAAGGTATAACTTATAAGCAACATGAATATGTTCAATTCAGCAGACATGTCATTTAACAAAGGTGGATAGCCTCATGAAGAGATGACTTGGCAAAAATATAATTTTTTTCAAAATGAGACTTAGGCCATTATTCTAAGGTGACGATATTGCAATCATCGGGGACTTCCCCTTGCCTTCGTCATCAGGACGAGGTCTCGTGAATCTGTGGTAATAATTAGTCATGACTCGGTGTGCTGAAAAAGATCTGGGAGTCCTGAAAAAGATTGTCGGTAATCTTTCTTTTTGGAGAGTGTGTGTAGTCCTGAAAATGATTGTTGGTAATCTTTCTTGAGCTTATAGTTATACAAAGAACCAGGGGCGGCGATTTCTTTTCATGACCGGGGGGGGGGGGGGGGCGAAATGCGAGGGACGAGGGAACAGTGGCGTAATGAGCAAAAAAACGTTTGGGAGGGGGGGGGGGAGAAAAAAAATCCGCATCACCACCACTCTTACATGTTACGCAGGCCCTGGGAACATTTTTCATAGTGGTGGGGGGGGGGGGGGGTTAAAGTATTAACGATCAGGTAGAGCAAAGCAAAGGAAAGTGGAGCGTAAATTGGCATGGGGTTCTAGGGCAAAGCCCCGGCGGTGTCAAGGGTCGGAGCCTCATAGAGCTCTGGGGTTTTAGGCATTTATTAAGGTAAGATGAGCATCTTGGGGGCGAAGCCCCGGAAGCTCAGAATTTGTGATTTAAATAACATTTTAGGGCATTTGTTTGACGTGCGGTATGAACAACAACAACAAAAAATTATTTAAAAAAAAAAGTATTTTAAGAAGAAAAAACGTACTACCGTAATTTGGAGGAAAAAATGGAGTAATTCCGGCAATGGTTGGCAGCTCTGTATCATCATCATGCCAATTATATTTCACCCTGTACGTCCATAAAACCTGCATTAAAAGCAACAGGATTTAAAACAAGCAACATCAAAACTTCTGACTTGGGTAAAAAATATCCTCATGATTATTCTTTTTCAAACAGAAAGTTTTTTTAAACCAATAATGCTTTCAGCACAAAGTTGAACAACAGTAACAAGTTTTACACTCCATGGAGTATAAGAAATATCTGATTCTCACCTTTAACTTGTATTATACTTCACATACAATGTTTAACTGTAATCATTAGGTAAAAATTTCGATGAACATAGCTGTTGTGGCAACATACAGTGTTTTTCGAATCAATGAAATATGCAAATTGATAATAAACTGCATTATCTTCATATCGTGTGAGCACAAATAGTAAAATAATCTATATGTAATAATTAATGTAAAAATGTGTTCAATTATTTGTGAAAGAAATATGGGAGAAAACACTTGACTTTATGCATTTACTCTCTAAAAAAAGGTAAAGACCAGTTTTGGAAATGCCCCCCCCCCCCTCAAAAAATGAAATGGAAGCTCTTATTACCAATCATGAGAAAGAATATGTTTTGACTAATACGTGATGATACAAATTTTGCTGAGAAATCGCCTACTAATTGATATATTTAGTAGATTATTATATCTATTTGGACTGGATAGATATCGCGCACGTGTCACGTAGTCCCATAGTCCTATCTTTCTATGTACAGTGCTTGTAACTTTACCAAGACTGGGCCTAATTTCTTATCATTTTGATGATTCCAGAACCTTGCAGTACACACCAGTACATACCAATACTTATATACTAGATGATCAACCTTTTCTGATCGATTCCACAACGTTTCTTTCACAATGCAATCGCATGACCAGAACTGGTCTTCATCTTTAATGCTGTTAAGGCTAAGTAAAATCATGTTTCACATTCACAGCATAAAGGAGGCCTTTAATTCTTCAAAATTGCATATGATTTGAATTTATCACCTTGTAAATGATACCTGTCACTGTCATATAGAGCTTCACATACATATTCTTTTTTAACAAACATTATACCCTTCATGTTCTAACCAGATGATATAATAATGTAAATATAAAATGATTCATGAATGATATAAATGAATTTTGTTTGATGTAATATTTCCCTACCCATATCACTCAAGTGTCAACAAATTGAACTGCCATTCAAAGAATTCAAAGAGTTCTTTTCAAAGTGCTATAATTGATATACTGGAAGTGGGAATAAAGATCTCTATTTGATGTAAATTGGCAAAAATACATGCCTGTATTCTACTAAAATTTAAATCCCACAGGATGTTATGTCATGTTATGTCCAGTTAAACAAAAGAAGTTCGATAAATGTCTAAATATTTTTAAAATACAAGCACCAGGTTTGACTGAATGATTAGAATATGAAACAATGTTTGTTAATAAGCGAGTTCGTAATTAGTATTTGCACATGGGCAGATAAAGGTCATTCGTACCCAAATTGTAAAACCATTGAGACGAATACTCAGATCGTGCTCATGAAAGTTATGTAATCAGTACTCATTTATGCACCAACAGTACATTTATCTGATACACAGGTGGAAGTATTCTTCTCAAGAGGCAAACAAAAGGTATTCATGAAGCACCTCCATCACCTTGGCAGTGATTATTCTAAAATGCACAGGTGGGAAGTATCCATCGTGTCTAAGATCTGTGGATATTTTGGGGTCAAGAGGTCCACAGCTATTTACGAACTCGCTTATTCTTCAAAACACCAGAAAATATCAGAACAAACGCAGCTCTATGATGAAAGTTGGCCTCAAGGAAAGTTATTTTGAATTTGAGAACATTGTCAGCAACTTGGTCTGTAGGTACCAAATCATTTACTTCCAACTTCTAAGGTCTTAGTGCAGATGAAAAGTAGCATAACTCATGCTATAACTCCAGGATATTTGCATACAATTTGAGAACAAAGCAACGATGCTTACAACATATTACCCTTGCATTACATAAAACAATGTTTTGTGTGCATACGAAGGAAAGCTTTTCTTGGTGTCAAGTCTGTGTCAAAAAACAAAATTGTATACCATTTTCTCGAGAAAAAAAGAAGAAGAATGTTCTGCATGACGACTGTCATAAGTCAGCACCTGTGTAGCATAGCTACAGTTTCCTTGATAAGAAATTCAATTGTGCACCCTCATTACATTGTCAATATTTTGCAAGCATATACAGACAAAACAATAAAGTCAACTTGTTTGGGACAACAAAAGTGGAAACTCTGTGTTAGGGTATAATAAGGTTATGCTCTTAAGACTCCAAACAAGTAAAATAATCGGTTTCAAAGACACCATAGTCCACCATTTTGGGTGCAGTAATCATTTGTATCTTGGAAGCCATCAAAGTTAATCCTCAAAAAAAATCCAGAAATAGTTCTCTTTTCTTGTTTCCATAATATGCGTTACATTTCATTAATTGTATCTCTAAACCTTGCAAATCTGCTAGAATTCATTTGGCATCCAATAAAACAAGTTCTGGTACCACATGAGCAAGGCATGTGTCCCTTAATCAAAATATGATGTAGAAAACTGCCCATCAGAATGGCTACAAAAATTCAGTTGTATGGAATCAATCGTCATCGTCATCTAGAACTTCTCCATCCTCTGGATCCGAGTCTTCATTCTTCTTGGGAAGGTCCCCAAGCTTTGGAAACATCATGCTATCACTGTCCTCTTTCATATCCGTACACTCCTGTTGAGGCAAGGGTAATTCAGATTTTAAAGTACCGGTAGGCATGTTGGGTGCTTCCCTGCTACTGCTAGCACTGGGCATAGGTCCCATTTCATTCATGTAGGGTTCATCATCTAACCTTCCATGTTCATCCTTCATGTCCATTTCACCGCTGGGCTCTCCATCTCCATCTCCCTCAAACCTCTCTCCTCCTCCTCCATCCCCCAAGTCTTCCATCTCTGCCTCATCCTCCTTGTTCCCATGGTGATCATCCTCCCCCTCCTTGCTGAGGGCGGTAGACTTTCTGGTGTGCCTTCTCTTCTTCTTCCTCTCTGCTTCCTCAACCTTTTTCTCTTCTGAGAAGATGTCTTTGACAGTTTCGCTGGAGACGTCAGCATCTAATTTCATCATCTGGATGAAGACTCCACCTGGTGATCGCCTCCTCGATCGGTTCTGAGTGAGAGAATGAAAGGTCATATCCAAAGACGTCATTACCAGAACTCATGAGTTTGGGCTTTGATATCAAAAGGGGTAATGGGTACAGTTTGTGTGGTACTTAAAATTATCAGAGATTTCAATGAATGTGTATATGATAAAAGAGCACAGTAACTTGATTGGGCAGTTCATCCATGACCTGGCTGTATCGACTGCAGACCCATACATGAGAAAACAAGTATTCCAAATATCATACCAGCTTCTTTAGCTCTGGGACTTTCTTTGACTTCTATTTCTATAACCAAATTAGGGTAATCTTGAGTTCTGGAAAAAGCATTCAAGAGCAGACTAACGCTTTTTAAAATTATTTGTTTATGTAGTGAGTCCAGTGTTTGGACCTCAAAGATACCTGTTTCATAACTTGTTAAACATCTCAAAGGACATGAAACACAGGATTAGATGCCTATATATCAGCCAATTGGTGCTAACTACTACATTACTCATATTTTCCATCAAAACTCTTCTAAAGATATCATACAGTTTTCGTTTTCAACAACCATAAACGGCATGGAATTCTGTTAGAAATTCACCTTGATCATTGCCAAAACTTGACACTTTGTCAATGAAACTAAAAATTTACCATTGTGGAATTTGTGGTGTTTGAAGCAACATAAAAAACAAATTTTGTGCATGCATCATCCTTACCATTATCATCATTCCACCATCATTTTCAATCTCCTCTGTTTTACTCCATAACTCCAGCGTCTTCTTGACCCCTAGGATCTTGACCACTCTCAGAATCAGATCTCTCTTGGGTTCTTGTAGGCTGTACGCAACCTGACCTGCGATGACCTTCATCTCAGCATTGGGGTCAATCTCTACCTTCTTCATCATAATGACCTGTTCAGTGTTGTCGGACTGTGTTCCAAGCCTGTTCTTTATGTTTGAGCGCCGGAACCGGTCAGCGACCATGGAGCCGCGCTTTTTAAGTTTTTCCCGCAGGTCATCATGAGGTTGCTTTAGCTCCTCTTCCTCCTCGCTGTGTCTTGGCGAATCATCTGCAAGCCATGCATCATCCTCATTCTCCCCAACTGCCTTCATGAGCCTTCGTCCCTTGGCGACATCGTCTTCTGGTGGGATGTTTGTAGCCACCCCTAGAGGGAGCTGTTCAGTATCTTTATAACTGTAGCTCTCCACATCTCTCTCCATTACCTGATCAACCCCAAAATGTGTGATCTCTCTCTCGACTGCTTCCTGGTTCTGATCCACGGCTACAGAACCCCAGACGTTATTCTTCCTCCTTTTCCCTGCCTCGCCTGCTCCTCCATCTCTGTCTCTGCTCCTTGGCGGCCTGTAATGATCTGGTCTCTCAAACCTACTCCCTCGCCCCTGTTGATCCCTCCGAGAGGTAGGCTCAGAGAAGGGCATCCTATGAGAGACCTTTTTAGCAGATGTGGTCTTCTGTCGCTTCCAGGACTGTTCATCATCACTGTCACTCTGGTCACTCGAGTCATCTTCATCACTGGATTCAAACTTTCTAATGCTTCCTCTGTGTCCATCATCTTTCTTTGGTGTTGCTTGACGGTGTGTGAAGGATGCCATTGGACTGTGTTGAAATCCAATCGCAAAAGATGAATCTACAAAGATAAAAAATAAAAATACAGTTTACTAAATACTAGGACCTTTATCTTCATCTGAATAATGATAACAATAAAATAGAATAATTATGCCATCAATACATTGTTATAAAAGAAGGGGGAAAACAGCAAAACTCCCCAAAACCAAAGCAAAGTCAAGTACAAATTTGAAAAATAAAGAATAGACTATTACTAGAGTCTACATGACAAATGTATAAATCAAATATCTTTCAAAAATTTGTTGTAATGAAGTGATATGGTATTAATTTAGATGAGGGATAGACTCTGTACAATTTCATTTGGGTATGTTAACGGTAGACTCTAAACTCTAAAGAACTAATAATAATCTAATAGTTGTTTGAAATGACAAGCAATTCATTCATTATCCCACATTAGACTAGTATTACCCATATCAGACATCTGAGCAGTGGTTTTACAAAATCATATTACACTTCTTGTAATCCTAAAAGAGCTAATCAGTAAATATAAGACCATATTACCCTCTCATAAAAAAGCCTATGGGCTTTACCTGTTAAAAAAGCAGGAAATAAAGTCTCACTCACATTCACAGCGCCATATTTTATCATTTTCATTGCGCATCTATTGTGACATAATATCACACCAGAGGCACACTATTTGTGGTGTATCAACAATTTCGTCAAGCACTCGAAGCACAGTGCCGGTTTGACAAAGTTTCTTCAGTTCTTTTTTGAGTTTGAGATTGTCATCGATTGCATGTTGCTCTAGCCTTTTAAGTTCTAGGCCAGGTCTAGGGTAGATGTCTGATTTGAACAACAATAACAATATTGACTGGCTTAACTTTCGGGAGATACCACATATATTGCCCTCACAAGACCCATATTGCCCTCTTCTTTGACTCGGGGCAATACGAGTCTAGTTTGGGAAATATATGTTGTAGGGTCTACTAGATCTAGGCCATCTCCCTCAGTTCAAGGCCACAGGAGAGGAGACAGAAGACATATTTGATTGATACTTACAAATATCTTAATGATATATATAGGAATAGTTCAGAAAAGTTCTTCTCTGCTCCAAACAAAGATCTAAGACTTTAAGAGGTCATAGGATCTACTAACTTAAGAAACTTTACCAAAGACGAACTCGCACAAAACTAGCTGGCCACTTTTGTTGGTCCAACCCTGGAACAGCTTACCTATTAAACGACATAGTGTCTGCACCTACTGTGGCTACTTTTAAGAGAAAACTGAGAGCCCTTTCCATAGGACAAGAGGGCTAATCAACCAAGACAAGTAAGTAAGGCCAGTCAATATTATATAAATCACCCACACAAAAACGAGCATATGGGCACGTTAATACAAACTGCCTCAAGAATTTTTCATTTCAATCACCATTGTCGGGCTTAAGTAGACTTTAAAAATGTATCAGTCAATTCAAATACACCTAGTATTGAAATTGATAAAAGCTACAGAGATAAAACAATGTTTACCTTCCTAAAAATGCAGGAAATACGACTCAAATAGCCAACGAAATTAAATCTCCGTACGCGTTCGCGCCTTATAGCCGCTAGATGGCGCTTCGAGGGCAGACCTCGATTTGGTTCAATCAGGGAGTTCAATCTTGTAATTTTTTTTATGTTAGTCTCATTGTGCATTTTTAACAACTGTTTAATTTAGATATACGGCATGAAACGAAATTATTTAGTAACGTTTTGTATTTAATCGAAAGAAAAAAAAACAGATATACAATTCAAATTAATTTAATTTAGTATGACATATAATTCGACACCTAAAACATTGTCGCGATTTAATGTCTCGTTACTGTCTGGTACCAGCTTGACCAGTGTTATGCCTGGCTTAACGAAATAATGACGAATGGCTCTCTTTTTTATAAATTAATGATTCATCAACAAATACTAACAATCGTAATGGATAAACAATGATTCATCATACACATTTCACTTTCATTTTCTCATCGGTAACGAATAACACGGTACCGGGACGTACCGGGGCTAAGAGAAAGCATTTTTTAAATAAATTGAAGCATTTTTTTTTATTACAGTGGACATGTTTACTGCCTTTTATTGATTTTCCATCGATCCACCCCCCCCCCGAAAAAAAAGCTTTGTCTTTCCCCCGGTAGCGGGTTCGTCCCGTATTATTTTTTTTACTGATGATAATGAAAATGAAATGCGTATGATGAATCTTTGTTTCCATCACGAATTAATTGTAGTATTTGCTGATGAATCATTATTTTATACCAAAAGGTACCATTTTCATCATGTCTTAAGCTGGTTATAACACTGGTCAAGCTGGCACCAGCCGGTGAGACATTAAATCGCGACAATATTAGTTTTTAAATCGAATGATAAGTCATATAACTATAAAATTAAATGAATTTGAATTGTATATCTGTTCTTTTCTTCTGACTATCTAATTCCATTTGTATTGAATTAATTGCTTGCATCGTTTATTTTACTCGCAGACCGATTGATGTGACTAGGCTACCCTGTTATTAACAAAGATAATATGAAATATTATTGTCTCAAGCGTTAGGCCAAATAACAAAAATGAAGTGTTTCTCGTCTCCGCCCGCCTTCCTTTTTAGGCTATTTACTATTCAGAAAAAAGCAACCCCCCTGTGATATACATTTTGTTCAAATAGCTTCTCAAGTGATTATCATTCATTTTGTTACATGTTGAATGAGTACAATCAATGACTCAAATAGCACAATTTCTGTGAATAAATAGGCTTGGCCAGCCAAAATAAGCATGGCAGCAATCTTGTAACAAAAATTGCAAAATTATAATGCCCTGCTTCTTCCCTTTTTTAAAATCCGGACGAGAAAAATGTTATTTTTGTTATTTGGCCTTACTCCTTATCGGTAATCATATTTCTCTTCCTTCTCTCCCATTTCTCCGTTTTCTCTTTCTCTTTCTCTACATCCCATTCCCCCCTCTCTCTCTCTCTCTCTCTCTCTCTCTCTCTCTCTCTCTCTCTCTCTCTCTCTCTCGTCGTTTCCCTTGTTCTCTCTTCATATCTCATAATCTCCAACGGTGCAATTCCTTTCCGCTTTCATCACCCACTTCGTGGAAGACGGATTTATAGTTATCCAACACATTAGACATTGGATTAATTTTTAATTATGAAAGCTTATCGATTAGTCTGCAAATTACAAGAGCGGACTCGTAACATCAATTTTCACAAGAATTTTTGCACAAACAGATTTTACAAAACTGATTTTGGGAAATTAACCTTAACGGCCTCGTTTCCTACATCCGTGTAAAAAATATAATTCTAATTATAGGTACATTTAACTAGACTCATGTTTCATTGTCGGAAGTGCCGTAGCAGGATCCATTCATTGGTGAGGGGATGAACACTAAGATCATGGGCCGCGGGGGGGGGGGGGGGGGGGGGGGGGAATGGAGAGGTCCTTACTCGATGAATACAATGCGAATTTACAAGGGCACCGAGGGGAGGGGGGGGGATATGGAAGGATTTCCCCCTTCTTTTCTCTCTCGTCCTTTCCTCCTCCCTATATTCACTCTTTCCATTTTCCCTTTTTTCTTTCTCAACATTTAGTTGGGGGGGGGGGGGGGCGTGCCACTGACCATAGGGTAGGAAAAGGATTGACCATGTGGCTCATGTTCACGTTAGGATGAGTACACGCATAGACAAAATACCAGAAGCATCAGTTTATGTAAGGTGGGATCAACAGAGTAATTTAGAACGGATGTATTGACGAATTTTTGATCATTTGTAATCTGTTACGTTTGATGAGATATGCGGTCAATCTTTTGATATGTAAGATCAGAGTTCTGTTTGATTACTCACGACATGGTGGCAACCAGGGGCGGATCCAGCCGGCGACGAGGCCGGGAGGGACCCAATTCGTGAGAAATATTTAGATAATCGGGGGGGGGGGGTAGTGAGCACTATTTATTTTTTACTCAACACCCCCGCCCCCCCCCCCCCCCTTGAGCAAAAAAAAAAAAAAAAGAGAGTAAAATTGTCGTTACCATCTTTAAAAAAAACATTTTTTTTGGCCAGGGGTGGGGATCCGCCCCTGGTAGCAACCATTGAAAACATCACCACTGAAATACAGGTTTGGTATCAGCGATGAACATAATGACTTTGTGGATCGAAATATCGTCGGGAACATCTACAGATGCTTATAGAACTTAAAATGCCGTCATACAGCGTAATTGAACAGCAGGTCATCAATACAATTTCCAGTATGGGCCTATATTTTTTTCCATTTTAGGATATAAATTTATCTACAATTCACAAACTGATTAAGGCCCATCACATCGTTAATTAACATTGCGAATTCAACTGATACAGGTAAGGTGAAATAGATTTTTTAAATGAAAGGAAAATAGCGGAGAGAGGGAGAGAGAGAGAGAGAGAGAGAGAGAGAGAGGGAAAGAGAGAGAAAGAGAGAGGGAGAGAGGGGGGAGGGGGGGGGGGTTAATGAAAAAAGTAGTTGACTGAAATATAGTTATAAAAAGAACGATGTCCAAGCGAACTGTGAATATTTTCTTTACGTTTAATGAAAAATAACATAATAAAGACAAATACCATTGATGACAAATATCGACCACTGATACAAAAACAAAATCTCATTCAAATAGGAACAAATTTTCGTGTGCAAACTATAAATTAAATATTTTAAGTTAGAGTAAAATCAGAAACAACAATCATCTCTTATAGCAGCACAAAAAAAAAGAAACTAATGGCAAAGCCAACATAACGTCTTTTCATCAATTTTCTATATATTAATGTAACATTACTGTTCATCGTAGACATTATATAATAAAATAAAATATGAAAATTATAAGGATTCAACTTGATACATACAATTTTTGAGATTAGCATTAAGATCCTTAAAATGATAGTTATGTGCTATGTTTACTACTATATTTACAGTAAATACCCAAAATACTAATATACAGACGATTGATAATCATACATTATAATGGAGGGAGAAAATGATCGCACTTTTCAAAAACACATCCTGAAAAAACAACAACAAACAAACAAATAAAACAAAATAAAAATACAAACACTGTTATGCATTTGACCATTCCGAGCTTGAAATAGTTGGACTTTTTTGGAAAATAAGTTATTCAAGTTATAACTTCGTTACTTAATATGCAATGAATATAAATGAAAATGGCAAATAAATAAAAATATCAAGTATTATTGCACTAGTTTAATGAAAACGATACTGCAGCACACGTTTCTTATTAGAAATGGGTATCATTAAATGGCGCTCAAATATTCAAACATGACCAGTACAAAAATTTAGCGATTCATGAAAAACGAAGCTAGTACCTATCCAGATTTGTCATGACATTTAGCAGGTGTTTAGAGATATTGTGTATCGAATTTTGATTTCAAATTTTGAAACAAATCCTTCCAGTTTGGCACGTTTATCATGTCTATGCTCTTATTGTAGTGGGCCCTTTGCAGTCTACCACACGATGCGCACTATACGGTCAGATAACAGAAAAATCGTTGCTTGATATTTTTCTGAGTGGAAGTTTAAGAATAGTTTCAAACTCTCGGCATTATCAAACTATAGGCTGCAATTATCAAACTCTGGTTGTAGTAAAGACATCAATGGGTCTAACTCATCGTCAACTAGTCCAGCTAATTGTTTCCATGGAGACGAGATGGAGCCGTATTTGTTAGTAAAAATAAAATCAGGAGCATCTCTGCTTTCGGGATACTAAGAGGACACGAGTTCGATTCGTCATCATCGACACCATTATCAGCGCCTTTTGATGAAGTAGAATACACCGCCTGCTACTAACGCGACAATGATTATGGTTCCGATGACGATGCCGGCCTTTTGACCACCGGACGTCCTGTCGGAAAGGTTGCTGGCTCCGTTTCCGAAGAGGTTGGGCATGCCGGCGTTACTTTCAAACTCGTTGTCCAGTTCGTTTGTCTCCAACTCGTTGTCGTTGTCGTAGTTGTTGCCGTTCATCTGTCCTCCGCCACCGAGGCCGTTGCCGCCCATCATACCGACGGATGACTGCTCGCCCGACGAGCCGCCGAACGACTGGGCTTCCAGGAGGGCAAGGGAAGCTGTGTGGTCACAAAAAAATGAGATCAATTGATGATGATGATGATGAGGATGATTCACAACAATTACATCCATGGCACCGTATTTTGGTTAAAAATAAACGGCGCAATTACCATGGAAGCCAGTGTGTGATCACATTATGAACATTAGTCTATGATGGCATAGTATAGCCCCAGCCATGGGGGGGGGGGGGGGGGGGGGATGACCATCATTGAGGGGGGGGGGGGGGGGCGGCCTACGTACTTGTAAATGTGTGACATGTGAATTAGCAAGGCCATCGATAAGAGAGGGTATTCAGAGTAAAGTTGGAAAAAAGGGTCCTATCATCTTCTGTTGACGTTTATTTTACCATCTCCACTCTATTTTTCCTTTCCCTAATTTATTCCTGCAATTCAACTGGGGAGGGATGCCTCTCTGTAGCTACCCAGCTGGTTGCTGGACCCTTAATACGGGAACATGTAAGAAAAGCTAGGATTGTATTATTTATAGCTGTCCATATACAATATAAATACCGCCTATGAAATAATATATAGACTGATGTAAAGTAATCCACGAGTGTTATGAGGTAAAAAAAAAAAGCAATAACAAGAAAAACGAGCAGATAAACATGTATTATTTGTGTGTATGGCAACCACTTATAGAAGGTGAAAACATGAGCCCATGCACGGGATTATGATGTACTAAAATAACACATCTCAGTTAGTGTGCTGTTAGCCAGTGGCAGATCCAGGGGGGGGGGGCCGGGGGGGCCGGCCCCCCCCCCTTGAGAAAAAAAATCATGCAAAATCACGCGATTTTTACCTTTTTTTTTTTTTTTAAATTTTCGAGGACCAAAAAAAAAAAATGTGCTCACTACCCCCCCCCCCCACTGAGCGACTTTTCGGCTGGCTTTTGGGACTGCAAAAAAATGTCCGCTTACCCCCCCCCCCCCCACTGAGCGACTTTTCGGCCGGCGCGATTTTCAAATTTTCGGGAGCAAAAAAAAAAAAAAAGTTGGGCCCCCTCCCCTAAGAAATCCTGGATCCGCGCCTGCTGTTAGCTACAATTAAATTTTGATTACATTTATAATCATTTACTTAATAATTCCTTGTCATTATAACTAATCATCAAGCGGAAAAGTGAGATAAAACTGGATCTCCTCGACGCTGAAAGTTTCACTACCTTCCACAAGCCATATCTGAAAACTACTTAACACGGATTTGGGCATCGTACGAACTTGGCAGAACATATCACACAACCTAGTATATATATTCATTCAAATTGTAAAGCGCTATTTCGGAGCATCAAAGCTGGACACATGTGAATATCTTGGCACACGGATCTGTTTCTTTTTCTGGCTCAACATTTAAACGAAGATAGAGGATATCACGGAATTATCAAGTTAACAGGGAGTTTCCTCCCGTTTGCTATGATTAGAAGTGGGCCCCTAATTACAATGATTATTTTCTGCATGCACCCCCTACAATAAATATACTCTTATCAACTTTGAAAGAATGGGTACACGGATGTCTAAATTTAGCTTGGACTGTCTTTGAAGAAGTCCACTATTACGCAATAAAAGGAAAGGACATGTCTCGAATTCATTTTGGCAGACCCGTGTTAACTGATCAGTGGAGTAATGAAGGTTAAGAAAACATTGACGAATAAAGAAGGTGATGACAACAATGATAGCACAAAGAAGAAGCTACTAATTTGTTAGAGAGAGAGAGAGAGAGAGAGAGAGAGAGAGAGAGAGAGAGAGAGAGAGAGAGAAGGGGGATTGTAATACACAATAAAATAGATAAACATCTTTCAAATCAAATGAACGAACAAAGAGAAACTTTATACAAAAGTACTACTATACAGACAACTATGATAAATGAATCTATGAAACAAACAGATAATGGAACACATCATTAAATGGATGAAAATAATTCGCATAAGCCACCAGATTTACAAATATTATTTTGGCTATTTGGTCTCGTTGGGCTTTAAACTAGCTACCTTAACATATTTTGAAACTTTTAAATTCCATGAAATTAAAGCATTTCCTGTGGGATTAGTTCGAGTGTCAACCTGCGAGATTTGAAGGATAAACTTATTTAATGCAAAGCTTCTGATATATTTTTAAAGACACTCGTGAATATTTTCAAAGTAAACAAAACATAGTGGTCGCATTAATTGTGAAATTATGCTCGAAAAAAAAAAGTTAAAGCAAAATCTTTGTCGAGTTCAATGCAAGGAATTATCAAATTTCTTTCCCTAAACAGTAATTTCACTCGCTGCTCTTCATTACTTTCTTGCCGTCTAGAGCATTTAAGATCTAAATTGTATCATTAACCAGATAAGTCACAAAATATTGTTTTATCATGATCAATATCTTTAAGGTAGTGCCCAAATAGCTTTTGGAATTTCTTGGAAATATAAATGACAAACATTTTTAACGATGCATCTTTCGATTTTTTGTTGATTTAATAAACAAAAAAGTTCTAATTATTTATGAAAAGTACACTATCATCTCATTATGTCATTAAGTGCTTTCATGAGACTCGTTTAGTAAAACCAGAGTGTGCCAATTAAAACAAAAATATATAAAAACAAATTATATTAAAACTTGAAGACTTGAGTTGGTTTAAACGAAAATGTAAGCTGACGAACATAACTCACAAGTTTACAGTTGACGTCAGTTACTCAAAAGCTCAGTCCTAAACAATTTAAATCAACCTGTATGATAAGGGGTGCAAATTAGTGGGTAAGCCACCTGCTTTAAAATATACTGCAATATGTAAGGTGCTGCGGTGCAAAACTTTTTACGACGTGACATCACTATGTAGTTTGAAAAGGACCTCGTAATTTAAATTCCACTTCTAAGTACGAATGCATTAAGTAAACATTTCCTGTCGAAAATTGATAGTGAATTATTGTTTCGGGAGGGGAAACAAATGAATTTAAGGACACTATTATGATAAAGTTGATCTTTGCGATTCATGAAATATATTATAAATCCACTTGGTAAGAACACGTAAAGAAGAAGAAAAAAAAGTCAGTTTAATATCAAAGGAAGAAGTAAACAATTTACTTGTAGCTCCACTTTAATGAGAGAAAAAATACATACAAAATTACACATGTGAACATCTTTCTTTTTAATGACTATGGAAAATTATATATATTTTGAGGGGGGAGGTAGTGCAAAACTGCATGAGGTCTAATCACTTGGGTCCTCTAGCCTTCATGCAGATCATATTCGTACCGATTCATTAAACTTAATAAACATGAAGGACGGTTCAAAATTAAAGACATAACTGGCTCTCCAAGACTTATAGGGACAAAGGGCTCAACCTTGCATTGGATCTATGATCTTTTTATTCATTCAAGAGCTAAAACCGACCCCAAAACCAACCAACGCGAATTAGGACGTTTCTTGCTGGATCTTTCTATAAATCATTTTAACAACAAATCTTTTTTGTTTTAAAGAAAAGAAAAAGTAATTGCGACTTACCAAAGAAACAGACGATAGCTAGTACAGTTTTCATATTGAAGGCGAGTATTAAAACACACTTCCCTCGAGGTAAAAAGATCGCAGGAGCAGAAATAAATAATCAGTACCGAGGCAGAAAGTCCGTATCAATTAAATGTCAGGATGGAATGGTACCTCTAAAAGTTTGACTGCTTTATATATCGGCCCCCTTCTGACCTAACCCGAGGAGTTAGTTCGAAACACACACCCAAGCATTGACAGGATTGATTTTACAGCGGCGCGCTACTTTTTGACAGTGTACTTTTAAAAAAGAGCGCGTTAATCTCGCGCGCTCGCATTATTTCGCAGAAAAGATTAATATGCTGTCATAAGTTCTCTAATATTTTTGGACAAGTTTTAACTGTATCTTAAGAGAAGATATCGACTTCGATTAGATATGATTAAAGGTCAAGTCTTGACATGTGACTAGTGACTTCATTTCCGCAGAATACCCTTTTCATCCTGGGCCTCCACTTACGCATGATTTAACCAAAAAATGGACCTCTTTCGATAAACGTATAGTTGTAACTCGTAAGTGAAAACAATTTTCGAGGTTTTTGTTCGTTTAACGACCATTTTCTTTCTCCTCACATCAATCTCTATTTGGAAAGGTAGGTGTACATAATGAGAAACTTACAGTGTTGCACGTTAACAATCGGTGTTGGACTTCTTAAAAAAATAAAAACACTGCCCTGTCGATAATACAGTATGATGGCGTATTTAGTCGCGACGAAGCCCCCCCCCCCATCAGCCACGCCCTTCTTGCTAAGTTCAAATGCACTATTGTCTTGTTTTCTGTGAAGCTACATGTGTATTTGATGGGTTGTGATTAACTCCATCACGTTGTTATCGGGTAATTCTCAATGTACCCCCTATCGAGATATTTTATTACCCCCTTTTAAAATTTCTCAAGAGTCCAAAGAGAGAGAGAGAGAGAGAGAAGAGAGAGAGAGAGAGAGGAAGGGGGGGGGGGGGCACCCACTTTTTAAAGAAATTTCCAGGTGAAAAGTCAAATACACCCACCTTTTTAAAACAATTTTCGGGCCGGATTTTGGGAACAAGAATGCGGGGGGGGGGCAGGACTTAAAGTTGTCAGTCCCATGGTTGCTGTCTTAAAAGCATACACATGCTTTCTTAGCGACCAAACCAAAATATAAATTTCAATATTCTGTGTAATGGAAAATAATAAATTTGATAGACTAGATTTGTTTTTTCTTCAAAACAATACATTTTCGAAAGAAAGAAAGTAGAGGCTACTCACACAATTGGAATGACGTATTGCATGTTCAGAAACTACAATAAAATGTTTTTGACAATAGAACAATTAAATCTCATCGAGTCAGCTAATGATCAGTGATTATGTGAAAGAATTCGGCATGCTGATGGGCTATCACAGCAGGTGGGAGCCATGAAATATCTTACTCATGTTGGTCGATCATTCATCGACATTCGACAACATGATCAGGCATTATTTATATTCTCTCCATATATCTATTATCTAGTTGCGAGCCCATCTTTTAATGTGACTGCATGTGATCATTCTGTGATTTTATCTAGTTGACACAAGTGATTTTTTTTGACAGGTAAAGAGAGAGAGAGAGAGAGCGAGAGAGAGAGAGAGTGAGAGGGAGGGAGAGAGAGAGAGAGAGAAAAAGAGAGAGAGGGAGAGGGAGAGAGAGAGAGAGGGAGAGAGAGAGAGAGAGAGAGAAGAAGAAGAGAATGAAATGATAAATGATATTACAAATGCTTCCTTGGGATAAAAGAAAAGGAATATTTCTTAGATGATCGTTTGTTTTGTCAGGACATCTTTCACATCTAAGTCTATTCATTGACTTATATCAGGAGATAGAGCATTACCACAATTTTTATTCACAATATTGATAAAATGTGTGTGTAAACTTCACGCAAACATACAAACATTGTGCCTAAAAACTTTAGATGACAAAAGAAATACCTTAAACTCCAAAGTGGTTAATCATTACAGCCAAACAAATTCATTAATTTAATTTTCCACGATTATGTGGGCCTAACTTAGGAAATTAGTATTTTCCGCTCGCTTTTACCATTTCTCTTAACCACGGGTCTAATTACTATAACTGTAACATGTACGTCATATGTCACCCCCGTGTCAACTCCCAAATATGGTGACTGAGAGTGACAATTAGCCTCAAATCACATCATCATTTTTTTCATTGATAAGCGATAAGTGGAAAAACCCCAAATCTGCCCTAAACTTTAAACCCAATTAAAAGTAAAACAATCGTGACAATTGTTGACACTGATCTAAACTTGTCTGCCAGCATCCTACTTAAATAACAAACTTGCCTTTTTAGGTCATGGTTTAGGGGGTTCTTTCGACCCCTTAAAATTCACTTCTGTATTATTAGCAAAATACAAAAGAAAAAAAAGGCATATGCGCAACACGCAAGCGCTGAATATTGGCAACTTATAAATGCGAAGAATGTTGGCCGGATTACAAAAATACAGGTATATGGGCAAACATCCAGAAAATATAATTGTCTAATTTACCCAACTATATCGTTTTGCCTAAAATAGATTAAAATGAACATAACCGAGTCTGTGCTGGGGGGGGGGGGGGGGGAACAAAATCGCCAAAATGAGTGAGATCAAGAATAGAAACAGTAATGTATCCTTCAGAAGTTAAATAAATAAAGAAAAAGTAACAGTAGTCATGTTCATTTATTGTTTTATTTACTATTCCGGTATATAGAGCGCTATATAAATTTCCTAACCATGACTGTAACAAAATGGTTCAAGGTTATATAAATGCAATAATATATTTTTTTTAAATAAGACAAAGAGGCGTATAAAACGGGGGGGGGGTGGGCTGGGGACCCGGTCCCTCTACAAGATCTCGCTGGTTCCAAGATTTTGTCTGACTTGTTTTCAATTACAGATCGATCAATCGATCTTATTTAATTACTGGGTGTAAGCCACAAATATGTTGAAACAGTTGATATTTCTCCCAGGAAGCATTACATTTACAAAAAAGATTCTTTGACAAAAGAAAGAAAAAGAACAATAGCTATACAATGCTTAAGAACTGCAATATACGTAATGCATTCAGACGCCAGTTTTCATTACTAAACAATGCAATTAATTATATCATATTGTAACTATGTAAGGGCATGGTGGTGCCCCCTAAATGTGTTGACCCCCCTGTCCCCCTACTGAAAACATCCTGACCTCGATTAAATACCTAGACTATTATCTATGATCATTATGGTAGTAATCGTATAGGAAACAACAGTACACAAATTGAGGCCATAGCATCATGAATATTAACATAAGTAATATCATCATCATTATTATTATATTTTAAATATATATTTGTCCATTCTGCTTAACAAATTATGTTCATCTATTTCATTAGATTTTTTTTGGCTGTCATATTTTCAAGTGATTTGCTAACAATGTCAGTCAGTCCTTCTTCCGCAAATGACTTTATAAAGTTTGATGAAATATGATAATTTGACAATCTATCTTTTCACTTTTTCCTATAATAATTGTCTCTATTTGATTGATTATGATTGTTATTATATTTATATGGAATGAAGAAGAAAATAAATCAAATCAAATTAAGCAAAGCGTTTGTGACAGTGCACCGACGCTATACAACTGGATAAAATGAACACGATGAGGAAAGTTATATTTATGACTTAATCACTGATGATACATAATGTTAACTCGCGGGAAATATAGGGCAGGTAGGGGGATGAGAAAGGGGGTAAACAACAGCCCACAACATAGGGTTGAGGGTAAACATACACGTTAATAACCCCGTCTGTACTATGACACACTTTTAAACATGCACGCGACAAAAAAAATAAAAAAAATCCGTTAAAGTTATCCTTTTATTAGGAGTATGATTTTGGAATTGTATACGAAAAGACATCAGAGAGAGAAATAAGAAATTAAAGAAGACTTTTTTTCTTTATTTTTTTCGGGGGGGGGGGTCGGGGTGAGGTGTAGAATAACTCTGCAGAAATGTTTAAGATGCTTAAATTTGCCAACGAGCAAAAATAAATAAATAAATCGGTTATCTTGTAAGGAAAGTATCCAGATAAAACTTTTGGCCAAAAATCAATCACAGTCAGACTGCATCACTGTGAAAGAGCTCGTTTTGTTTCTTATAATGATTGACATGACGTAATAAGAAAAAAGAGCTTAATATCTAATATTTTGGAATTCAAATGCAAAATAAGTGCAAAGTCATATAGTTAACAGACTCAAGGACAAAAAACCTAATGTTCATCTAAACTGAGACTCTGATAGGAAAAAAAATGCATGGATGCATGAAATGACCGACGTTCTATTTATTTTCCGCAAACTGTATAAAATCTAATTTGAGATCATCTGACTTAGTACTTCTAAATATAGCAATGCATTGAGATTTTACTTTGAACATATTAAACATGAAACTTGAAATCGCACGTTAACCAAAGTTCCTCAAATTCGCGTGATATAGTGAGGTTAAACTTTTGATATCATGCCAGGATAGACGTTTCATATTTTTCTCGTTAATTGGAATTGACACGGGGATATTTTCATCGAATGGATTCGTTGAATACATGAGTTGCATAATTATGAACATTCCTAATGCATTATCAGTGTAGGCTATACGAAAATATGAGCATTTTCAGGGATAGCGAGGACTCTATATTCAGTCAACTTTAAATCTGGAATAAAGAGTTGTAAGGACTGTGTACATAGATTAGATTTAGATTTAGTATTAGATTTAGAAAAAAAGTGAGGGAGATAGGAAAAGAGAAACAAAAAACAAGGTAAATTAAGAAAAAATATAGATGTAGGTAGCAAGAGAGAGAGAGAGAGAGAGAGAGAGAGAGAGAGAGAGAGAGAGAGAGAGAGAGAGAGAGAGGAAACATAAGGGGGTGGGCACACAGGCAGACGGATAAACAGAAAGACAGATACAAAGCCATTGCATAATAATAATAACCTTATTAAAAAGCATGCATTTTAAGAATAAATGAATATTTTTATTTAAAAGTATTCTTCTCTAACATCAGGAGACAACGTCTGTAGATCAAGAAAGGACAACTTTAAAGCAAAAAGTAGTTTACATAATATTATTATCTAAATTTTCTTCTTCAAAAATAGAACTTTTAATGAACGTTTTCTGCAAAGAAATTCAAAATACGTTTGCATTCCTAACAAGCTTAGATAT